GTAATAAAATGCCCACAGCCCAGGGTTCATTTCTACACACAAACACAGCCCGCCACGGTACAGGGCTCGCACAAATGAAATCAACGCATGTCAATTGTGCATTAAATGTAGTGAATGTGCCCACAACCCAGTGCCCACAAACACTACCACGGTTTCTGTAAAACGAAACCAACACAAGTCTTCCTAGCCTCCTAGGAAATCGACGGTGTTTCAGTCTCGCCGCGGCCAGACTTCCACCGAAATTTTTTCGCTCGTTCAGTTCCAGAAAATGCGACTGTTCCAGTGTATTTTGCAGTAAGCAAGCCAGTGCCACGGCCCGCTTGCCTGCACACAAATGCTGTTTCCACGGCGACCCAGATAAATCACATAAGCAGTGTATTTTCTGGTGTTCTGGCCACAGCCGATGGTGTTATGAGTGTAATAAAAATGCCCACAACCCAGTGCTCATTTCTACACACAAACACAGCCCGCAAAAATGCAGGGCTCGCACAAACAAGATCGCCTCATGTCGATTGTGCACTAAACGTAGTGAATGTGCCCACGTCTCAGTGCCCACAAACACTACACACCACATGTCCCACGGGTTCTGTAAAAACGAAACCAACACACATTCAGTCAGCTCAGGCCGACGGTGTTTTCAGTGCAGTAAATGTGCCCGCTGTCCCGCGCCCACATTCACTCACAGACATGTTGAGCCCCACGGGGACTTCGGGGCATGCGAGTTTTGAACTACTTGGACGATTGGCTGATTCTAGCTCGATCACACTCAGAGCTCATAGAACACAGGGCCACATTACTCGAACACCTCGAGAATCTAGGCCTCACAGTCAATTGGGCAAAAAGCTCGCTGTCTCCCAGTCAGAAAATTTATTTTATGGGAACAGTGCTGGACTCGCTATCCATGACAGCACGCCTGTCACCGGAGCGCGGACTAGACATTCAGCGCGTCGCGAACTCCTTCCGCCACGGCTCTATAGTCCCGCTCAAAAGGTTTCAGAAAATACTGGGCCTGATGGCCTCAGCAGCCTCTGTACTCCAGCTGGGCCTGCTTCGCATGCGCCCACTGCAGATGTGGCTGAAAGCGCGAGTTCCGCCCCGGGCATGGACCGCTGGTCTGTTTCGCCTCAGGGTCGATCTAAAGTGCGTTTCAGCTCTGAAACCTTGGAAAGTAACTAGGGCTGGGTACCGAGTTCGATACTTTTTAGGTATCGATCGAATTGCCTCGATACTATCGAGTATCGAAAAATGACATGTTGTTCGGTTCCAGATTTCGATACCTACGGAGTTAACTCGTCAACGTCAGTGTTCAAACAAATACATATGAAATGCACATATGTACATGTATGGCCACCCAGTTTAGGCTGAAAGTGTTTTCACCCTGGCTGCGTGGTATAATATCTATATGATTAGCTCCTCTGGATGCTATTTTATAAGGAATGACGCTTCTAGCCCCTCTTCCTTCACTCTCTGTGAGTCTATGGTGATTATGCACTACATACATCCCTGTATGCACGGCGTGTTACACTGTGTTCCCCATAGTGTAAGATATTACGCAGTATGAGAGATACTCTCGTAAGAGAACGTACTCGGTTACTAACGTAACCTCTGTTCTCTCTAGAGAGGGAACGAGTACTGCGTATCTTGCCGTGCTTACAATACGCTCTGGTTCGCTTCGGCGATGAAAACCAGTTTGTATCAGCTATCGACCTGCTTATATAGGGCGAGACCACGCCCTTACTGGCGGGACGTGACGAAATGGGCGCGAAGTGCCCCCATTGGTAGAGCCGCTCTCGATAGGCTGCTGCTTTCGCCGCAGGGCAGCCAATAGGCGCGCGAGCCGCCTCGCCTATGTCTGCCTGCTGCCGCAAAGCGTTTTACATTGATTAAAAATTAAGGATAATTTTTGGCTTCAATATCTCGAGGAAAAGAGGTTTTCCCCATAGCGTAAGATATTACGCAGTACTCGTTCCCTCTCTAGAGAGAGCAGAGGTTACGTTAGTAACCGAGTACGTTTCTCAACCTTTTGCCTACTGCGACCCACTTTTCTTTTGTATGCCAGTTATATGACCCACTAAATAAATCAATAACTGAAATGCCTCTTTAGATCTAGGCTCCACCGTAGGCCTATATGCTTATTATAATTAATGATAATCACAAAAACACACAAACATTTTCAATAATTAGGCAGACTATGAGGCAAACTGACTTTTTTACTCACGTTAATGTGATAGCCTACTTGAGACTGCCGCTCTAAAATGATCATATCCAGACGCGGTGGAATTTGGAAAAGTGTGACTCGTAGTGTCGCACACAAATAACTGTTGTCAGCCTATTCCTGCTTTTTGTTTTCGTTGCAGTCACTGTTGAAAATCCCGACTCACAAAGATAGTAGTGCTAAATGGGAAGAGAAACTTCGTTGCACAATCTGCGAGTTGTGGATATTCATTTCTGGTTTGAATCCAAGGAATGAAAATAGCCTACGATTCGTTGGAGGATCGGCTACGTTTACATGCACAACTTTTGTTTCAATCGGACTGAATTCATTCCGATTGATGAATCTGAATGTAGTGTTTACATTAACGCTAAACGTGATCGGGTTAATGTGCGCGTTTATATGTCACAAGATTCAAATCGAATTATATTTTTTTGACATGCGCACACTGCACGAATATACAGAGTTTCCCGCTGTTTGCGCATACTAACTATTCTCTTACATTGGTTCTTTATTTGTTTTAAACAGCAAACTTAATATTTATCCATTGCTGGTCATAATTTGGAGACAATGAGCATATGAACTGTTGTGCCGTACTGCTTATTTATCACGCAGTAAAAATGCCCAGCACCCAAAACCAGTCGTCTGTGAATGAGAGTCTGAAACAAGGACTGGTGGGACGTTGTCCTGCTCCACTTCACAGACGCTGAGTGAAAGGAGAATTTTAGAATGATGGTAGCCTACAAGCTAAGATACATTTATACTCAAAACAAGGAAGAACAGCTCATTCAGCGCGTCATACATCATTATGCTATGCGCAGTCCTTTCAGTTTCGGTTTTCAATCCGATCAAGTGTTTACATGTCCTCCCAGTTGGATTAGAAAAGGAATAAACCACCCCTTTCAATCCAATTGAAATTTTATTCGGATCGAGCTCAATCGGATTGATTAAGGTGTTTACATGAAGGCTTTTTAGTCTGATTGAACCGTCAATGCGTTTACTAACGGATTATTTGGATTTGGTTGCATGTAACGTAGCCTGTTGCAATGAGCCTTTAGTGAAGCCCAATTTTTGGCTGTGCCGGTTAACACAGAAAAAGTCTCGCGACCCCCTATAGAACGAACAACGACCCACTAGTGGGTCGCGACCCACTGGTTGAGAAACACTGGTCTAGTCTACAGAGTGGTGAGTTCCGAGCGACAGAGGTGGCTGCGTTAGAGCCAAATATAGCGCATTTCAAATTAAAATAATTTTATCGGCAAATCGGTTTTGAAAATGGCCAATACCGATAACCATAAAAATGCTTAATATCAGCGCCGATAATCGGTCGACCCCTAGAGGGTATGCATACGTTGGTTCTCATTCGGCCGATGGTCCATCTGGAAGCCTCAAAGCAGCAGGCTTTTTTGATTTTGTTCTCCTCCATGAGGTATTTCCTGTTAAATAATCACACGAGACATATGTAGCGCCCCCTACCTGTCCTTATTGTTACTAGATAGAGAACCGCGCCCCAAATTCACTAACTATATGCCTACAGATGTTGAAGTTAGGCCCCTCTGGACTTTTCTTTTGGAAAGTTACAAATAATTAAATCTATACGCATCTTAACTAATCAAGGCAACAAACACTTTTGAAAGAATAAAAACACTGGTAAAAGTACAACAAACATATAGGATTTAATTGGAATAGAGTTATTGAATGTTAACTAGCTCAAAAACGAATTTCAGAATGTGAATTATTCACACAATCACATTGCCAGTAAATCTGACACAATTTAACCCCCGAAGAGCAATATCTCAGTTGCCAGACCTACTGAAATTAGTCTCCAGGTCAAATACACTCAGTATAGATTGAACCAATGACCTCAAATGGATGAATGTATACAATAACTCCCACAGATTATAACAAAATATACTCTGAATATACACATTATATTTTCAGTGCCCTGAGAAATACTAAGTTAACCAATATGTAATGTTGTGGGCCCACACACACACACACACACACACAAGTACTTCACACAACCCACCCCGTTGCAGGCCTGAATCGTCGCTCGTGTTCGTGGTGGCCGGGAAACTGAAAAATGGCTCCTTCACTCTCCTGAGCACAAAACAAATCAAACCAAGATACCTCAATTTCACGTGCAACCACACAGCAATTCCAGGAATCCTGTAGCAAGCCTCGCGCTGCTCCTCGTCCTCGCTCTCCCTCGTCAGCCGACGAAACGCCTCCCACGCCGCCAGAGGAACCCCAAATAACGCGGGTATTTGGGGCACTATCTGGTCCTCAAGGTCTCCCTCGGTGTGAAGGAAAACCACTCCGTTAACAGTCTTTAGTGTTATTTACGGTTGCTTTAACTTATCAGTTCATATGCGCAGATATGCGCATTGATAATTAAACAGCCTGTATTCGCGCCTGAACGGCAGATTAACAAGACCGTAAAACACTTGCGGAGATCTCAAAGAAGTAAACACAAATTAATCCTCCATGTGTTCGTGCTATACACACCCGATCTACCTTACAGTTCAAGATTTTTTAAACTTGTAAATCATTAAATCAAATCACTCTCTTACCGCAAGCGTGTCTCTCTCATTTTTGTGTCTCTCACTCCCCTCCCGCGCTTGTCAAAAAAAACTCTCATCTCCCGAACAACCACTCACGTTACACAATACACCAGTGAGGGTGGGACTTAATTCACCTAAACCAATAAAATAATCAAACACCTAACCTGATGGTTAATGCCACGTTTTTCACATGTACACATCGATCAAACTTGTATCTCATCCACGTGCGCTCTTAAAGGAGCACTTCACCCATTTCAACATTAATCTTTATTGAAAGTGGGTCATATATGTAGTCGAAATGTAAAAGAAATTTTGAATTTGGTGCCCTCTTGACCGAGAAAAGACAGAAAATAACTTTAGGGCACATTTGTATGTAAGACAACAACTCCCACAATGCACCACATTGCATAGCTCCACAAGCCACTCCCACTAATCCAGAACAGCCCAAACATCAGATAAATCACTCTTCCGTCTACAAGGCTAACGTTAGCTGCCACCAGAGTTAGAAATTAATTTCACACAAAATTTATAATTAGTTGGTTGTGGCGAGCAGAACGAGGGCGAGGGACGTGAGAGCGGCGCGAGGCCGGTGGCGTGAGTGATAATGAACGACACCTGTGAGATGCACCGGTCTCTCTCGCATCTCCCACCGAGGAGCGGAAGCATAAAAGGAGGAGCGACGACAGGGACGTGGGAACTATATTGTGATAGGGGGGGCGGGGGGATTTTTTTAGTGTAGGCCTAGGCTGTGTTATGTATCCTGATTGACTTTATGATTAGTTAAATCTGTTTTGCACATGCATCGCCACAGAGTTAACCATTTCAGACAGTACCGGTCAGCATCTGTCTCGTTCACTTCACGTCTGTGGGCGTTACGCACAGCTCAGTGTGGCCGCTCCAATTTACCTTCAATGAAATCTAACCTTAGTGTAATTGACAGAAATACTAAAAAATATTTAGCTACCTAAAAGTTAAATATTTTTAATAAAACTCAAGAGATGGTGGATGTGTGAAATTTCATGATTTATGAGTGACGTCGTCTAGTAGAATTTTCTAAAAAATATTTTGCTAAAAGTAGTGCCTACCTAAATATTAAATATAAAACGCATGTGGACTGATATTTTTCCAATGTCTGGACTCCTTTATTAATGGAGTATATAAACAGACGTTGCAATATATTGGTATTAAATGCATTTTCTGAGAATTTATATTTCAAGTTTTCACCATATATCGGAAAACATTTGGAATGGGTCAGACATAATTCTTTCTGACCACTTATTGTTTTGTTTTAAGTGAATTTCGTTTTGTATAAATTGTATCTTCATTTTAATCAATGTTTTCATCAACAAATTGACTGGATTAATAAATAAGAAGCAAATATAGTAGACAATAGAATTAGGACACAGAGGCGCCGACGCGTGAACTGGAGCGCGTCTCATAAATGAACCGAAAACTGACAGAAAACACTATTAATAAACAATTTAAATGTTTAATGCATAATCCTTACTTTGGCCGGTTCTTTGTGGCAAGCTTTATGCGTGTGTTGAGATGCGGAATAGGCAATATAAAAATGCTGTAATTATAAAAGGTTTCTAGTGTCAATGTAGGATATTGCTTGTTTTTCTGTTTACATTTCATGTTGTGACACTTCTCTTCTCTCGAACATAATGTTGCTACGCCAGAGCGGCCAAAGCGTCAACAAGCTTCCCCGTACTCTTAGACAAGTGTCCTCGACAGGGCCAGAGCTTCTTTGCAGCTCAAGTCGGCGGCGGTGTGAACGTAGTTATGCTTCTTACGCGGACTTTAGGACTCAGTTTTGAACCGGTGTCAAGGCACAATGAATGAAAATGCACAAATGGTAATTAAATAGAACCCCTGAAATGAACGAGGGAGAGCTGTGTTTTATTTTCACAACATTTCATATTGTTTGGAACATGAAAATTCATAAAATGAACGAATATAATGGCCCTATTGATATAGCATTGACAGTCAAAACATTTAAAGCTATGAACATGCTAGACACATACGCTAGCACTACTCAAAAAGGAAAAAATAATTCATGCATTTCCAAAGGTGGATCTTCTTTCAGTTGTTCGACTTATAAAAAAATTTATCAGAGTCGAGACATCGATTTCATCCAGGAGATCACTGTGGGCATTCATGATGGCCAAGTGCGTTAGTCTCTCCTGTGACATGATGTTGTGCAGCCAGGTTTTCAACCTGCACAAAGCCGAGAAGGAGCGCTCTGATGCAGCGACAGATATGGGCAGGCACAGGCATAGTTTGATGAGCTTTTCCACCTCTGACAGCATGGAACGGGTTTGTGGTTGCATGGTTTGGAGAATGGACACAACATCCCGAATTGTGTTAACTTCACGCCCTGTACAGATATCCCGCAGTATGTCCAACTCATGACTTAGTCGCTCTCTTGTAAAACCGGTGAGTTTCAGTGAAGTCACATTAACTTTTTTTCCTTGAGCTGCCTCAATGATCGCCTGCTCTCGCGCTGCAGCAACTTGGATTCCGACCTGGTCAAAACGCCTCTCTACTTCTGAGCGCACCAGGTCCAGCGCCTCAAACATCTCCCTTTTCCACACGTTCGGATACACTGAATACAGAAATATATATAACATAAATAACCTTAGCCTACTACAACTGAAAAGACCAATTGTGTATTTTTTATTACAAACATTTACCCTCCACTTCGCTGCACTCTTGGTCACTCCTCCACTTGTGTATAGCGAAAGCGTGCAGGTGTCTTGCTGCTGCGCACTGGATGTGGCGGCTTCAGGCCGTAACGCTCTGCATATTGCTTGGTCTTGGCCACAAGGTCAGTGATGGTTTCATCCTGTCGCAGTGTGCCCAGTTGTTTGCAAAGGAGTTTGCCAGCTTCCATGGATCCTAGAGCTGTGACTTTGGTTCCTTGAAGTGATCGTGCCACTGCTTCACATGGGGTAAATAGGGTTACGCAGGCAAACAAGCCAAACACTGTGCGCATATTTGTGGCCTTTTTTTAGCAATCCTGCAATTTTGGCACGGGTGTCCCCTTTCACCGCCTTGTCACTCTCCAAGGTTCTGAAAGTCTGTATCATCTCTCCGTAGCAGGCCAGCAAACGTGACAGTGACGCAACTTGACGCACCACGAGTTGGGCAGAGGCCAAGCAAATTCACAACGTCTCCGGCTCCAAATAGGGACTGATACAACGCTTTTCTCTTTGCTGAATCGTTGATTGTAACAGTGACTTCACGCACAAAGTTTAGCGTATCAGCAACAAGACGCACTTCACGAGCCACTTCTTGCAGCGCCAGATCCAGTGAGTGATTTGCGCAGTGGACAAAAACAGAGTCGGGACATACTTCCTTCAGTTTAGCTTGCACCCCATTGAACCTCCCTGACATGTTACTGGCTCCATCAAAGCAGTAGCCCTTCAGTCGCTCCAGTGGCAAATGGAGGCGCACCAGGACATCCTTTATGCACTGAAATAAGATTTCAGCCGTTGTGTCAGGGGGATTGTAAAAGCCAAGATAGAAATTTTGAACTTCTAGGTGGTCATTGCTAAATTGCAGACTGATTGAAAATTGTTCTTTGCCACTGATATCTGTTGTCCCATCCGCAGTTAATCCAAAAAAGTCGGTTTTTGATGCTGTTGCTCCAATTTTTCTCAATATGTCATGCGCAAATCGCTCCAGAATCTCATTTTGGATGTTGTTTGACATCCAGTTGTCTCTCCTTTTCAGCCACTTATCGAGGTCAGGATCATCGCGCACTCGCTCCTGCATTAGCTGCCATAAGACTCCATCCCGATTGGCATCCCCTCTCAGTGGAAGCCCCTGGCGCCCCAAGAATCTTACGCAGCTGAAAATAAGTTAGAGGATTTTCCGCGCTGTTCTCTGCTCCTTTGCCTTGGCTTCAGAGAGTAGGGCATTTATTGGAGTGTTTTTCAACGCTGCCAATCTTTGGGTTGCATCTAAATGAGTTTTAGATTTCTCGTGGTCTCTGATTTTCTCTGTTGCTTTTTTCCAATTTGAAAATCCCTTATCATTTAAAAACAAACTCTCGGTGGTTGGGCACAGCAGTTTACTTTTAACAGCCGATCTGCACACCCCACACACGATGCCATCACTGTCCGAAATATATTCCAGCCACTTCCACTCTCGGAACCAGGAGTCCCTACAGCTGCGTGCGAAGCTCTCCCCACTTTTTTTTTTGACTGGAAAATTATAATCAGGCGGAGGCCTGAAGGACTGTGCACCTGCATCTGCTTTTTGACTATCAGCGTGTGGCGACAGGGGATGAGGGTGGCTCGTAGTGAGGGTGGCGGTGGTGGGTTCATTCATTTGGGTCAGCTGCCGCTGCTCATCCCGGCGGCTTTCTGCTGGTGGTGCTACACATAACGATGAATCGGATGTCAAATCCAGTGATGTTGCCCCCCCTTCTCTTATTCGCTTTGCTGTGGGAGCTTTTGAAAAGCAATTTGAAATCCGTTTTTGTGTCATTACCGGAATGTTGCTTTCTTCACTAAGAGGATAAAATCATATTCTTCCGGGACTCGATTGCGTCCTTAAATTATGTCTCCTCTGCGACTGCACATACAACATATAACTGACCCCCCAGCTTGAGTTTTTCTAGGCGACCGCTATGTGTCACTTTCTGGTTTCCATGGTGTATTTCTGACCACTTTCTGGTTTCCAAGTGCATCATTGCTTGTCACGTGACACACCGCAGCAGCAACAGCGCCGATGATCTGCTTTTATGTCATTTTTCCTTTTTTATTCAGAATATTCACAAATATGTTAGCTATGGCATGAAATATCTGATATTCCGATTGTCAAATGCATGCAAGTGGAAGTGTATTGTTTTTTAAACACCTTTATAACGATCGCGTTAGTTCAGCACTGCAGTATGCGAGATGGGCGCCTTCATGTTAGTTTGTGCCGCAAACGCAGTTCAGAGAATCGGATCTGTTGGATTTACAACACGTGAATTAATCCACTCCCGAAATACTTAAAAGTGGCTGGTGAACTGGGAGAAGAATAGAGTAAACATTAAAGTTACTTACACAATGTGTATCTGATATGAATAAAACGTGTCGAATTATGGAAAGGATTATTATTACCTCTTCCATAGACATCAGTCTGTATTTTACAAATTCTAACGTTAAATGTATTGTTTTTTTAGCCCCCCCCGCCCCCCCGTTCCAACGTCAATGAGCGACGACAGGGCAGATCGAGAGAGGAACAGGCCTGATTTTATGTTGTGTTTTGTTTCTGTCGTGTGTGGCTGCTGGCTTATACTTTTGTTTTGTATTTGTTTATTTTACTATTAAAATGTTTAAATGTTTGCCGGTTCCCGCCTCATTCTTCCCACAACAACGAACCCCGTTACATTGGCAAACTCATTA